TTGGATAATGGTATTAAAATCATGCCTACCTTTTTATCCCGAAATTCCTTTGAGTTTGAAGGTATATAAACTGAAACAAGCGATACCACCGCGCTTTGGAATTCACACATATAAAGAATTCATAAAATAGTAAGATTGTTCTCAATACCTATCATTGTTCTATCATTATAAACAGGAATTTCCTGAACTAAATTCTAAACATCAATCTAAACATTCAAATGTTGGAGCTAGGCCAACTTTTATGACCAAATAACTTTTAGGTCACTGTGTGTCACAACGTATTGATACGGCGGGCCCTTCGTGTAATATTTTTATTCGGATATTCGTCTCAAATGTAAATACAAGTAATATAACAAGGTTAAAAAGTTCTCTGGGAAATGAACTTGGTTGGTACTTGGTTGAACTTGATCAAATCAACTGAGAAAGCTCTTCGGGCTTTACAGGATTTGATCACGTGACCAACCAAGTTCATTTCCCAGAGAACTTTTTTACCTTGATATTTATTTTTTAAGTGTATACTTACACCTTTTCTAGCTAGGACACCAGCAGTTTGACAGATTCAGAAAGAAAAGCGAAAAGATAAGCAGATGGAGAGAAGTAAAGAAAAAATTGTTGCATTTTGCAATATTGTGCACACTAATACCTCCTTTTCCATCACGGTTTAATGCTGTATTTTCCAACAGTCATGCACGTGGCGGATCTTATTAATATTCAACACAATTACAGCAAAGTTGAAAGTCAAATTAACTTTAGAAACTTGAAGTTAACCGAGTTCAAAATAGGTGAAAAATATCTGCTCTCAAATTCGTATCATTTTTTAAGCTCAGATATGCCTTATATGCCTTTTTAATGTATTTTTAAAATAAATATCAAATGAATGCTTTTTATAATGATATGTATTTTCAATCTGATTAAAATAAAAATCTTACCTTTTGAAAAAGAATTAGGCTAATAAATTCTTATTCAGGCATTGTGTAAAACAAACTTGATGACTTTGATCGAATGCTTTTACATAACAGTTTATGTAGACCTGATTTTGATGAACTTTCCGTGTTTGAGAGACAACCGTGGCTGTATGATCGTCATGTAAAATTTCTAAGTACATGGAGTCCATTGTATCAACTCCCATTTAAATTTTGCTTTGATTTCTTCTTTCTCCATGTGGCTCTATAAACAGAAAATTGAAATTCTTAAGATTTTTTATTTTTCCTTCAGATTTAAATCAATTTTCCAAAAAAATAGAAGTATGTAAAATCCGAAAACTACCAGCATTAAAATTTGAGGAAATTCATTCTACTGACCTTGAAAATACATTTGTAGTAAATCAAATTGATACTTAAGGTCAAGATCTAGTAAATGATTTTAGACTGTCTTTTTGGTGCTAGATCAATTATGACGTCATAATCAATTTTATTGTATTTTTCCCGTACTTTACGGCTCTAATAAAATTAAATAGAAAATAAAGTATTTTCATGGAATTCAATTTTAGACCCTGTGAAAAATAATCCCGATACCTATATTCAGTTTAATATTATTTTAAAGAAGAGGCCAAGAACATACAAATTACCGTTTTCTGAGAGACTGTAGGCAATCTGGATATATTTCCTTCGTCTGATATGGAAAAAAAAACTCCCGTATTCATGACTGGTTTTCTTAATTTTTCATTGAAAATGACAGTTTAAAATATGATTTTTCGTCTTGTTTGCCTACAAATTATGTCCCAAAACACCTTATCTCACCAAGCTAAAGTTATAAAGCATCATTAAAGGAATTTATTTCTCAAATTTGAGAAATCTGTAGGCACCTTTCATTTACTAGATCTTGACCTTAACTAGTAAGTAAATTTTTGCTCTAATAGAATTCCCATAAGAATTAATTTGTGGCCAATCATTTGAATTCTCCAATGCAATTAAATTATCAAGATTGTTTCCAAGAGAAGTTTTAATTTTCTGCTATAGAAAAATGGCTAGAAAAATAAAAATAGTTCCAATCATTTATGAAGGGAACGATAATGCTTCTGTGTCTACGGAGATGAGGTAGTATGACATTCTTCAAACCTTCTGGGAAATCATTTCACCAATTATAAAAATCGGGATCGATAGTAACTTAATTACTGCTACGACATCATGATTAAACTGTGATCATCAGAAGGTTTCACAAGGCGCCACCTGCCGTCATAGGCCTGCATCTCGTGTCCTCCAGGACCCGGATGATTGAAGTGTTGTCCAACAAAGCGCCTGGTTAGTTTATGTGAAGAAAACAAATTACAAGAAAGCCTTATCCCGACACAAAGTTAGATACTGGTTTAGGAAATGTTTTGTTCTGTGGCATCTTTTGCCAACTCAAAATATTATTTGAAAAATCCCAATTCAATCTTTACTATAAATCAACTACAATAGTGATGTTTTTCAATTCATATCTTTATCAATTGGCAAACACAATAAATGTATTTTTCAGTTTATATAGACTAATTATGCTAACTTCGTGCATACCCCTAAACTATTTCTGTTAGTACCCTTTATAAAACAGATCTTGTCTGTTTACCCCAATCAAAAACAGATGGTCCATCCCTCTAAAGCTTAACAGCGGTTGACATACATCCGTTTTATTACAAGAACATTTTTGTTTAACCCATAATTTGCCAAAGTCATAAAACGCTAAATATGGGGTTTTACTCGAGCTATGGTTTGCCGTTTGACCCTTTGTGGAGGATCACTGGTTTCATTTCTCATGATTCTGCGTAATATTTCATCCATATTTGTCAGAATTATCTTAAAGTCACACAGAAAAGATTATGAGGTAGAATTAAATTGTCAGTGAAATACCTGCCTGTGAATGGTGGTATTGGTTGGTGTCTTTGAAGTGGATTTTAAGTAGGGTACGATGAGACATATATTCCAATGCTTATCTGATTCTGCAGTGCCAACTATAAGTAATAACCACAATTGGACGATTACCCTGGTGTGACTTGAATTTTACAAGTGGTTGATTCTTAATTGCAATATTACTCTGGATACAATAAAAAATAAAAGCGATAAATATCAGCTGTTCTTTCACTCAACATACAACTCTTTAAAAACGCATAAAATTCAATGACCTGATAATTTTTTTTATATGATCAATGTCAAAATTATTTGCTTTAGAGTAAACTTAACATATGTTAAAATGTAAAATTGTTAATCAAAATTGTTTGTCTTGCATTTTTAACCCTCAAATTATGAATATGGGTTTGAAAATACATAAAGTCTTTTCTGAACTTTGCCATCTTTGGTTGTGATGTGAGAAAGTTGACCGCTTTGGAGACATCTTCATAAGCTAAGTTTGGTATTTGCTGTCCTTTCTCTTACTTTCTTAGGTAAAGTCTTGAAAGTCGTGACATTATATCATGAAGACATTGAGTGCTTATATGAGCTGTGGGTTGAATTTTTTAAAGGCGTACGAGATTCTAAAATAAGATGTCGAGCGCTGAGTGGGAAGTGTGCCAGGAACAGCTGATAATTTGAGGGAAAATACCGCATGCTCAATTACAAAACATGGAAACCAAAATATGAAAATAAAAGGAATTTATCTATCCTTATTTTAACTATTTGTTTTAATTGATTAGATTATAATCAACAAATTTGATCGTCAGCCTCAAAGAATTTACAAAAAAAGATACTTTTATAGTTTATTTTTCACCTCTAATTGTCACGATAGTTAAAACTGAAAATTGTTTAGTTAATGCTCAAAGTATATATATCAAAAGAATTGAGAAAAAAAAAAATCAGAGTAACAATTGTTTAATGTTTGTTTAAGTGACTGATACTACCTGGTGATATCTTTAATGCTTGACAGTTCTTTCTGCCGATATAATACCATACATACCATTTATGTGTTGGTATAATTTACATAAAAGCCGAAGTATTAATAGAAGAAGTGTTGATTTGGAAATAGATTCATTGCCTTTAAACTTTCATTTTCAATTGTTACTTTCAACATATGTTGGAAACAAATTTTCTCACACATACATGAAGTGTTCGTTTTTATGATGAAATGATAGTACAGGCTTCATATTTTATTGTTCGCTTCTATTCTTTATCTTACATCAAAGCTATGAGAAGGAAAGAAAATTGATGAAATAAACTCGAAGATGGAATCAAAATTGTTTGTAGTCGCCTAACTGCTATATTACGGCTTCGCTGAGGTATAGAACTTATCAAGTAACATCTCAAGCTAAAATGTTATAAGTTCTTTATAAACCTTTGAGCATTCTTACGAAACCATTTAAACGTTCAATATATGTCCTTTGATATCTCTTCATTAAGATGAGCTTTAATACCAGTCCAAAAAAAATGCGAGTTGACAATTATTTTGGTATGAAATGGGATGACAAATACAAGAAATTTTTAATATGAATTCATATTTTTATTTCATTTTATCACATACAAAAATGTAAAATTACTTTAATCTATTTCCAAAAAAAAAAAAAAAAAAAAAAAAAAAAAAAAAAAAAAAAAAAAAAAAAACCAACAGGAATAAGGAGACAAAACATTTTGGGTTTTTTTTTCTATTTCAATTAAAAACATCAAGAGGAAATGAAATCAGAAAATGGTTACCGTCGATTCATGTTGTCAAGCACAAAACAAGTCTAAGAAAATTAGATCACTGAAATAAACCATAACTGAAGGGCCTGTCATTGTATCCTTTCCTCTACTGATGGAAATAATCTGCTTATTTTATATTAGAAAAAAATAAAGGGTTGTTTCCCTTTGAAAGATTTGCAAACACGAATCATTTTGACGATTTAATTCTGTAGACAGATTTTTTTAATATTTGACTAGACCTTGTAATTATATTGAATAAATAAAAATGACATGATTTTTTTTAAAAGATATACTTATCTTTTGTGAAATATTTCAGTTTGCGCTGTTGGTGATTTGAAGGCGCCACAAGAGATGTGACTACCAGTTGTAAACATTATGTTGATGAATTTAACTTAAATAATGTTATAAAGCCTTAGGATTAAATGCATAAATAATTGAAATTGTTTCTATTTTAACATTGTTGAAATACAGATAATGTACAATATTTATTTACAATGAAATAAACACACATGATTGAAAAATGAAGTAGTTAGTTCAATTCTTTCATTCACCATACCAATTAAGATATTGTTTATATTTAATACTGCTAAATTTGAGTGAGTATCTACTTCAAAAGAATATTGCAAAACTTGTCCTTAAGTTTGCAATGCCACAGAATGAAGGGGAAATGCTATTTTAAAAGGAAGACGCAGATAGAAGGTGAGTCCCAGTCACTCAATCAATCAATAATTATTTAAAATCGCATGTTATATATGATTTTGTAGTCATTTTTGACAACCAGCATTAAAAAATTCCTCCAGCCAGAGAAACGCCTTTTTCCAATGACGAGGTATGATGAAATTCGTGCCCATGAGAATTTAGCACACTGGAGTAAGGTCCCGGAAGTGATGACGTGTTGGATAGAGATGGTGTTACTTTTCCACTCGATACAGTAGAATGCCATTTTGACCCCTCTGTCTGAGGTTTAGCTATTAAAAGAAAGTTAACAAATTTAAATAAAAATGCGATTACTTAATTTCTCTCAAATAGTAAACAATCATTTATACTTTGATTAACAAAAGTAATATAGATACATCTTAATTTTATGTATCACTTAACAAAAAAAGCAATTTTGCAAAGAAAAGTAAGAGATACATGTAAAGGGCAGCTTAGTGGCAGAAGACAATGAAAAAAGGCGTGATGAAGACAAATGTAAAAAAAAAAACATGAAAAATTCCAATAAATTTGGTTTATTCAAACCATATATGTACCGGTTTAAAAATTTGATCTGTGGTAATTCTAACTTGAATTTACATAGCATAAACCTTTTTGACACTCTTCGTAGGCCAAGTACAAGAGTGTTTTAAAACTAAATAATTAATTCCTATAATAAAATGAAATTTGGTCTCACGTTGGGCCTCTTCTGACTTGATGACTTTGTCTTTGCATGTGTTGTTATTATTGTTGTTGTTAGAGTTGCTCGTATTGTTGTTGTTGCTTGTGTTGCTGCCTCCACTGGTGTTGCTGGGTTCTTGTTTTACTGAGGAACTTGACTGACTCTGTTGCTGTTGCTGTTTTGCCCTCTCCATTTTTCTGAATTTCGCTCGGCGATTTTGAAACCAGACCTAAAATAGGAGTGTTAGTTTGTCTTTTGAATTTATTTTTAAATATTGGCAAATAGAAGAAAAAATTATTCCGTTCATGACCTAGGAATGTAATACTTTTTGATTATAAATTGCAAGGGCGTAGAAACGCAAAATTCAGAAGTGTATCACTGTTTGATAAACTTATTATAAGAAGCAAACGTATTTCTTTTCTCAAATGAATAGTTAGTTACCTTGTTTCTATTATTTGGTTGAAGACTGTATTTCTTCCTGTACTACTTGCCCGAATACTACATCTAGTTCTCTGATCTCTATTATTTGGCCAAAGACTGAGTCTTTATATATATATTGTCTATGCCTTAACGTCTTTATTTGGATTGAGACAGTCTATACATGTACCTGTACGCTGATCTCTTTTATTTGGCTTGAGACTGAGTCTATACATGTACCCTGATCTCTTTCATTTGGCTGGATGCTGAGTCTAAACCTGTTCCATAATCTCTATTAGTTGGCTGGAGACTGAGTCTCTACCCTAATCTCTATTACTAGGCCGGAGACTTAGTCTGTTCTTGTACCAAGATCTGTATTATTTTTCTGGATACTGATTCTTTGCATGTTATTTGATCTCTTTAATTTGACTAGAGACTTAGACGAAGCTTGCTGCATGATCTCTATTATTTGGCCGAAGACTTGAATTGTTCCTGTAATCGTATCTCTATTATCTGGTGTGAGACTGAGTCTATACCCCTGCCCTGATCTCTGATTTTGGGCTGGAGACTTAGTCTTTTTCTGTACCAAAATCTGTATTATTCGCCTGGATACTGATTCTATACCTAATATCTGATCTCTCTTTAGTAGACTGGAGACATAGTCTTTGCCTGTAATCTGATTTCTATTATTTGGCTGGAGACTGTGTCTATACGAATGATGACCACGAAGTTTGTGGACAGTCAACGTTTTTCAACGTTTGAATTTGATACAAAAATCTTTGTTGATGAAAAAACTAATTAGCTTGATTTGTCTAAATTAAATTTAATATTAGTGGAAATACTCTGCTGATCTCTTTTAACCTAGATACATGGATGAAATATGGAGATAACGAACAGTAATCAAGCTCAAAAGTCCATTGAAACAATACCAGTCCCCTGTCGACCAGTCACACCCGCCGTGTGCTCATTGTCATGGTCAGGCAAACGGAAAAATTCTCGAATGGGACGTTAAACAACATACAATCAATCAATCAATCTCTGTCTCCTCTACATTTTACTTCGGTTGTATTGTACGTATATCTTTGCTGTTCTTTTTTCATATTAAGTAACTTTATGTATCTGATTTTTACCTATTAAATAGTTGAATAGTTGACTTAGTCTTTACATGTACTCTGGCCTCTGCGAGATCTGTTTTCTTGGCAATCTCCTAAACTGTGTAGATGTCAGGAGAGTTTTCTTATTTTTACTTATTTAATTAGAGACTTAGTTTTTACCTGGACTCTGGCTTCTGTGAGGTCCGTTTTCATGGCAATCTCTTCCCTTGTATAGATATCAGGATAGTGGGTCTCGGCGAAGGCCTTTTCCAACTCCTTTAGTTGTGCGCTGGTAAACGTGGTTCTGATTCGGCGCTGTTTACGTTTTTCGGGACTTATTCCAGTATCATGTTGGTACATTTTATAAGACAGCCCTAAAGTAAAATATAAAGTTTTGGTTAAGATACTGCATTCCACATTTACTTATCTCTTAGGGATATAATTATCTAAAATACATGTATATACTAGTAACTCAGAAGAAGTATAAAATAATATATTATTAAAACTTATTTTTAAAGAATATACTCCGCGAATTTGTTTACTTCATGTCATATTTTGTTTTTAGAATGCTCCTTCAACCCTTATCTTTACAATACTTTGTGGAACAATGATGTTCGTTGTACATTGTAAGAAGAAAGATAACTACGAATAATTTTTTTTTTTACCAAATAAAGAACGAAGCTTCTAAATTCATGTTTATCTTTTTACAATCCAAAAGGTAATTAACATTTCACAACAGCAACACCTGCTCCTTCATGTGAAAGCAACATATCTTATTGATAACTCCTCCAGTGGATGGCGATTAATCAATGCTACGCTTATGTAAAGCCAAAGGACATACAGCTCCAGTCAGGGATAAATCTTTATCCTCATTTGACAGAATGACCGTAAATATTGAGATACTTTGAATTTAAGAACTTTAAATTGTGATTGGTTAAACCAATATTGATTTTGATGCACAGATACACAGATACAAAGGCCACATAGGGGTTATGGATTGGAACAGTTTTCTAGATTATTCTCAGTCATAAATATATATATATATATATATATATATATATATATATATATATATATATATATATATATATATATATATATATATATATATATATATATATATATATATATATATATATATATATATATATATATATATATTTATATATATATATAGAACACTAACTATAGACTATCTGCGATTTTTATACACGTGGTAATTAGTGTATAGAATTTGTAGTTTGGTAGTAAGGCTTGCCGACGCTTTGTGTTTTATGATGCCAAATGCATTCTGGAAAATGAAAAAAAAATCCAGGAAAACTTTGCCGTGACCTTTTTTTTGTTATCCCTACAATCAATAATCATTTTGCAACTGTACGTATTTAGCATAAAATATCGCATTTCTAAGAGAACTTCAAAAAGGGATTATTTATTGGTACAGGGTACTCAATGCATTGATTCTTTAATTTACAATATCGTGTACATAATAGGAATTTCCTCTGATAATCATCAATCTTGAATATCTTTGTGGATAGAGGCTTTTTTTAAAATTAAGTTCTAGATAGTGTAAATTTGTTACTCTTACTGTGCAAATAGAAAAGCATTTACCAGGAAAAGAGTAAAGTATTCATAAGAAGAAATATCTAAAAACTTATCATTCTAATTTTTGTTCCGAGCCATTTTTAATGCTATATAAACCAGTGTTATTTTGATATCGATGTGTACTGGAGATATTTGGCTGAAAAAAAATCTTTTCCTCTATTGATCAATGTAGTGTCTCTCGCTGCTTGTACTAACAGCTATCACAAGTACTTGTGGACAGGACCCCCGTCTCCCTCATCCCAGGTTATTTCGAATTTTTTCCCATAAATTATTTTTTTCGATGGAACAGGTGACATAACAGTGATAGAGCTCCAAAAATCTACAAACAATTCAAATGTATAAACAGGGCATAAAACACGAAAATTCTAGAGGTGGGATCAGGTGCCTAGGAGGAGTAAGCATCCCCTGTTGACCGGTCACATCCGCCGTGAGCCGTATGTATTGATAAAGTAGACGGAACATTTCGTAGTCAAAATAAGTATTAAAACAAAGGACTAACAATTGGTATGAAACAAGTCAGCCAAAAAAGGACCAAATGATAGGTTACATTTGGTTACAAGGTGAAATCCCTGTAACATCAACTTACCTATAAGTATCCTGCTTCTGTTTAAAAATGATTGTACTCGGAGCATGCTTTTGAGTATCGAATTAGTTGCAAGACATAAACACCAAATGCAGGTGATAGCGGAATATAACTACATAAATAAGGAAAGTTGACGATGGAAAAGTTGAAGTCATCTCGTTTGTCATACAATTTAGTTGTTTGTTGACCTTTATCGTCTATAGTCATTATAACATCCGAATAAGAAAAAGATGTGGCAGACTCTATGGTGTCTTTTATTTCAAGTTCACTGGGATATATCGAGTTGACATATGAATGGAAGTAACTATTGTTAATTGATAATACGTCGTCGATATATCTGCATGTCGAGTTGAAGGCCATAGCAAGTGTTTTCTTCTTCTCAAATAGAAGTTTTTGCATAAATTCTGCTTTTATGGAAATATAAAAACAAGTCGGCTAATAAAAGAGCACAATCAGTGCCCATCGAGATTTCAATAGTTTATTGGAAGACCTGGTCTCCGAAGACTACATAAACGTTGTCAATGAGGAACTCCAGGATCCTTTTAATATCAACTTCAGAATACTTGAGTATAGAATAAAAGTGATTTTTAACAAAGTAATTTTGTTGATTACCAATCACAAGATACAAAAATTTCCGAATTCCATTTTTATTGAAGAAGCAGTTGTCTATAATATCAAAAAGCCTATTTTTTTAAATTTATCGTTAGGAATGGATGTATAAAGTGTAGAAAAGTCGTACCTTTTAATGATATTGATTTTGAAAAATTTGGTGATTTTAATTTTTCTGAAAGTACTTCAGAGTTTTTGAGAATCCCCATCTGATTTACACCATTTCTAGAATATGTTGTAGCTGAAGTTTCTCCTTTACAGCAATTAATATTTTTGTAAGGAGTAAAGAGAGCATTTGCTGGATCCGGCAATGTATCTCTGTAAGGATTTTTATGAACTTTAGGAATCCAGTATAGATATGGTAGATAGAACTCTCCTTGGTTCACTGGAATGTTATAAGTATTAAACACTAAAATGTGATTTTGAAGAATTTAATCCTTAGAAAGTGAACTGTGAGTATAAGTTGGATTTCCTGACGTAGGAATTAAACCAAGTTCTTCTAAAATACAGTTATAATAATGAGCCTTACGAACAAAGACGATATTGTTTCAAGCATTGCCTGCTGTAACCACAACATATTGTTCATGTAGTCTTTCTAATTTAGGTCTTCCCTTTCATATGTAGCCCAACGTCTGGCATAATCTTCGACAGAATTCATAATAAAAATGAAGTTCTGTCGCCAATTGAAAGATCGGGGCTCTCTGTATTTAGGATAATCTAAAATGATTGATTTTAGGTCTTCGTTTTCAACTATATCAATATCACCGGTAATGATGTTTCCAGAAGAGCAAAAATACTTAAGAAGATTTTGTTTTAGATATTCAATATCTAGGCACTGTAAGGTTTGTTTATAATTGAAAAATTTGGAAGCAACAGTTTGGGAATATCTGTAGGAAATACAGGGTGTAGACTTCAATTTGAAATATGGTGGAATGCAAGACAGAATGTTTTATATGATTAAGAATGTTACTATAGACACAGCATCTATTCCTTTGTTGGCAAATTTATCTTCAAGGAAACGACGGGATGAGTCAGAATATTCCGACACGTTGTGGCTGAAAAAGCCTGTGCTGTGCAGCATCCATAATCTCAGACACTAGCATGCATTCTGCATTTGAAGAATCTATGTATGGACTTGCTTTAGCTTCTTCAAATGGTCCATTCAAAAATTTCAGGGGAACCGAATGAAGTTAAGTGCGAAGTGATGAAGACCTAATTGTTTATTGACGTAAGGCAAAAGTGAATCAAAGGAGACATCATGTATATATGGTCCATTGTATGATCGATGTCCATGACTACGTGTACGTCTAGATGTATTGTTAAAAGTCCCAACACATTCACATTGGCACATTGTGGGCTCGAAAGATTCCCTACATTATTTATGTTGTCGTTGCAATCATACGGAAAAGCCATGCCTAGTTTCCTGATCAAATATTCTTCTCTTTGTCTATGGAATGGAGTACTTAAAGTGGGACTATTAGTTAGATAATATACTTTTTTTTTCAAAATTCTAACCCTCGTTGAAAGAATAGAGTGATCAGAGAAATTGAAAAGTTTACAAAGATGTTGATAGCTCCCATTATTTATTTCAAACCTTTGCCCCGACATTATGTGTGAACCCTTTGTTTCCCCAATATAGATATATAGATCAGTTCGCATAGAGTACATTCAATTCCATAGACAACGTTTTAAGTTTTACAAGTCAAATTTTCACCCTTTTTAATATAAAAACTTTGTCCAGTAAGGTTTTAAAACGAAGCGTTTGTTATCAAAATATCAAAGGTTTTGCAATTTCTAGTAGAACATTTAGAAATGGAACACATGGAGTCCAAAAAACAATGTCAAAAATATCTCTGATAGAAACCTTACAATCTTTGATTTTAGTAAAGGTTTGGTTTGTTTTATTCTAAAACTGGTTATCTGCCGACTGTATATCTAACAAATTGTTAATGTCCCGAAGGAGAATTCGAGGGGCACCAACCATTCTGTCAGAGCCTATGCCCCTTATAGACCCTGCAGATTGACACCTTTTTATGCTAGGGACTCTGTCAGCCAGTATGGAATCGTTCATCTCTTCACTCTCCATAGTAGAATATATACCGAGCGACAAGTATCCTCAGGGACCTATTTTTCATGTATACCATCGGAGAATTCAGGGGGAAACCCAAAATAGCCGTTCCAAAATAAAATATCTGATAAACATAATAAGAGAGACTTTCACTCAAATTATTTGTATGATCGGGTATTTTTTTTCTGAGTTTTCCTTAGATTTCTCCTATGGTATACATGATTCTTAAAAATATGATTTATGGGGGGAAATTTTATTTTCTCTTTTTATTTTAAATAAAATTTTAGCTTAAATTGAACTAAGATGAAAATTATAAAAAATTTTAAAAAAATTCAATTCCCATGCCACGGTATTCTTCATAACCAACCTTACATCAAAAACCTATGTTTACAAACATGGGCACTAGCTCTGTTTTTGTTTTACCGGATGTGTTTGATTTGCTAACGCTACACACATCACTGAACAAGAACAGATGACAGTGTGGTTTTGGTTTTGATTTCTTACACTCCTAT